GTCCGCTCTCTCTCTTCTCTCTCTCTCTCTCTCTCTCTCTCTCTCTCTCTCTCTCTTCTTCGTTGATTAACCGAGCATCGAACCACGGAGAGTAATAATCGGGATCTCTTGGTTCGGATCGATAGTTGGTTTCCTATCTTCGTAACCTCGAACGATTATTTTTTTTTTCCAAACCACCATGGGATAGACAGACGCGCGGTCGTTCTCAAGCGTGGCAAGAACGCTCGAACAAGTTTCGGAGAAATTTTGGCGAGAATTGGATCATCCCTGGATTTTCGGAGCGCGTGACGTGAAGCGGATTACATAACGCAGCGGCGCGCGAGTTTGGTCCGAGTGACAGTGGCGGCGTGGCCAAGTCCGCGCGACCGGTCCTCTCGTCCTACCGGTCGACTTTGTCGAAAACGATCGTCGCCGCCTTACCTGCTCCTCCTCGCGCGCCCTGTCCGTCCCTCCGTACTTTTCGCCGATCAACGACCGGCCACCGCGATCCTCTTCCACGAAATTTCGGAATTTTATTTCGCCGGTTAACGGTGAATATCCCTCGACGTTCGGTTCCCCTTCTCGCCTCGTATATCCGCCTCGTACACCACCAGATATTCCGATATTTCACCGATGAATATGCGCGAAAGTCTTTCTCTCTCTCTCTCTCTCTCTCTCTTCCTTCCTGTCAACGCAATCTCGTCGAGGAACACGATCCAACCTCGGGAACTCGCGATCTCGTATTTCGTGGGCCGAGCCGGAAGTTTTCGCGCGGACGGTCACGAACGGACGCCATCACGATGCCGAATACCGCGAGTACAGTCTCGCGACGATCCCACGCTGCGAGCCACTTTTGGACCGCGACACGCGCGCATCTCTCTCTCTCTCTCTCTCTCTCTCCTCCCCCTCCTCTCTCTCTCCTCCTCTCTCTTTCTCTCTCTCCCTGTGGATCACGGAACGGTTGGAAAGTCGGAGATCGCCGCCGCCGCTTTTCCCCCCCGTGTTGCTGCTGCGATCCGCCGCGAGCGGGGCGGCGGAAAGTGGCGTGTTGCACGCGCGCGCGTGCGCGTCGGGACTCACCGTGGTCGTTGCCGCACTACTGGCAGGATATCCCGGAGTGACGTCGAACGCACGCTCGATGTGGAATACCGGCGTCGGTGCATCGGTTCGCCGCACGCACGCACGCACGCACGCTCGTTCGCTCGCTCGCTCGCTCGCTCGCGTTCACGGTACCAACGGCAAATGTGGCCTCGAGTGGTAGCGCTCCGAAGCGACACCTGTGAGGAGACTCTACCCTCTTCCTCTTCTTCCCGTGCCTTCTTCCACCGCCCCTCCTTTCCCCTCCCTCGCCTTCCGCCTCTCTCCGCTGCGTTTATCTCGATAACCAACACCCTCGCCGCTTCTAGATCGTTAACCATCGAGAGGAGGAGGAGGAGAAAAGGGGAGGGGGAGAGGAGGAGGAGGAGGAGGAGGAGAGGGAGAGTGTCGACGGAGATCGCGACCGATCTGTCCATCCATCCATCCATCCGTCCGTCCGTCCAAAGAAATCGTATCGACTCGATCTACGTTGGATCGGTTCGATTCGATTCGATTACGCGCGGTGACACGGACGAGAGAGAGAAAGAGGGAGGGGTTATTGTAATTATCGATCAGCAGCGCGATATATATTTATCGGTTTTTCGATACGACTGGGAGAGAAAAAGCGAGAGGGGATCGTCGCGATTGTTGGTCGCGTCTCTATTATGGACGGGAGAGGATCTTAACGATTATTACGGGGAATAAAACTACACGCGTCAATCGACGTGATCGAGCAACATCCTCCTCTTCCTTCTCGCGATAAAAGCACGTAGCGGCGGTGCGGTGTACGAACGGCAACTGTCCGCCGTTCCCTTTTCTCCTTCTCGAGTTCGAGTTCCTTCGCGTTCGCTCTTTCTTGCGCCTCGATCCTTTTGCCCGTCGCCGATACTCTCTTCGCCTCCGTCTATTTCTTCTTCTTCTTCTTCTTCTTCTTATATTATACGCCGCATCGATAACGAGCGCGGATTCTCGAAATCGATCCGAAACGAAACGAAAATCGATCGGGAAATTTTGCACGACGGACGTCCACGACGTTGTCGTTGCATCCACGGATGTGAGCGGATATCACTCGATACCGCGCGGTTAAGGAACGGAGAGGAAACGGAGGGGGCGCGTTGTAATCGAGTTGCGTCACGATAATATCGACCGAGAAAGCGGAAACGCGCGGGCGGATAAATCGCTGCGAGTTCGTTCCACTCCCGCTCGCGCTCCCCTCGATCGCGATGATCGCTATCTGCCGGATTTTCGTTTCTCGACGATCCCATGAAACTTATTCCATCCTCTCCTTCTGTATTCTCTGATCTGTTCGTTTGCCAAAGTTTTGCGCAAACTGGTGGTGAGAATCTTTCGGTGGAGAGAAATCGTAAAATGATGGAATAATCATCCCCGTTTCCCCGTTATATCGCGCGATTTCCCAGCCACCTGGATGTAACGATATATAAACAACGCTTCTTTATTACATACGAAAATATAGAAGAACGAAGCGAACAGGTTGAATAAAGCGCGTTCGAAGACGAGCCGCAACCGGTGGTCGTGGTATAAATTCAACCTTGAACGACGTAGCCAACGACGAGTACCGGGTGAATACAGATACACCTGGACGATACCTGGTCGAGGAAGGAAAAAGAGAAAACGAAAAACGAGAGAGAGAGAGAGACGGAGTTTCGTATCGATATACGGGAAAAATATTTTTAGAAACGAAGGATCGAGATGAAACGTTTTCGAAAGGACGGCACGATCGGTGTGCACGATCCTTAACAGCGAAGGAAGCGAGGAGGAAAAGCGAGAAGTAAGAAGCGAGCGAAGGGAGAGCAAGCGCGTTCGACGGTGAAAACAGGTGAGTAACGGCCGACAGCCCCCGAGTGTACGAGCACGTTGGTGGAAGTTGATCTCAGGGCCGTCGAGTGTGGCGAACCACCGATGCTTCTCCCGTACGAGCAGAGGGTCACGGTCACGAGCAAGGTCGTAACCGCGATCGTGTGCACGCCGCTTAATGCACACCGAACAGAAGGATAATGGATCCACGAATTTCGCGATCCACTCTAACGCTCGATCCCTCGCTTGCCTCGTCCTGCCCATCCACGCGGATAACAAATCCTGTTATTTTCTTCCTTTCCTTCCTTTCCTCCTCCCTATGTACACGAAGATGAAAAATTCTAGTCTCAATCGCACGATCCATCCGATCACTCTCGCCTCTTCATTTCCTCCAGTTTGTCCAGTTTGTTAATTTTTTATCAATTCGACGATCGTTTACGATTTATATTCCGTTTATCGCGTTTTTTCCTTCGTCCTTCGTCCTTCTACTACGAAAGGGGGAAAAAATACCCGAAAAGGGGGATGCTAGATCTGTCCCCTGTGACAAATCGAATCGAAGGAAACAAGAACGGAACGGGATGTAAATTCCTCGGCATTCCTCCCCCCTGATAATACAATTGCGAAAGATGGGCGATCGAGTTTAACGAGTTTAATGACAATTGTCGCGCGTTTCTCCATCGCATCGCGGCCGTTTTCTTCGCTTTTCTTCGCTTCCATGGCCGTGGCGAGTGACGAGAGCCGGTCGAGGGAACGTTAAAAAGCGTTGGATAGCGAGGCTTTTGTGTGAAAGCGAGGCGCGCGTCCAAGCCCCGTCGTCGTTCCATTCAATCGTAGGGTGTAATTATATAGGGAGGAGAGCCGAGGAGGAGACCTCTCGAGCATCGAGAGGCGTCGCTGACAATGGGCTTAGCCGTTGCTTCGTTAACCGGCCGATTAAAATAGAATGGACGCTGTCCACGCGTCCGTCAGGGGACTCGTCTCGAATCGAGGAGCGCCGCTTACGCTCCCAGTACGTAACGAGCGACCATTATTTTGCTCTTGTTGATTTTACGCTCGCGATGGAGGGCCGCGTGAAAGGAATAAAAAAATAAATAATAGGAGCGTGAGCGTGAACTCTCGAATGTGTGGAATGTGGCGATTAGAACGGTTCTTCGAACGGATATCGCGCACGAGCCGGGATCGTTTATGGGTCGGATCGTTTCTAAATAATTTCTATCGTTCGTCGAATTATGATGCAATGCTGCGCGTTTCGTAAAAATCCACGACGCGTTCCTCGTGTGGAGAACGAAAAGGGGAGGGGGGGAAGGGGGGGATCTTATCTTCGTTCAAACTCGAGGAATACGAATACGAACTTTTCGCACGCGCTTTCTCTACGCGTATCGACAGAGTTTCGTTCGTCGAGGGACGAGGAATTTTCTTAGAAAGGGGGATTGAATTGGTCG